ACAGAAACAGGTGGGACAGGGGACAGGGATAAAAAATAAACAAAGAAATTCTTAATTGGTGGCAAAATTCTTTTTAAAGATTTTTAAAATTCTATGTTCTATAAGGAAGTTAAGCAAAAGAGAATTTAAGCACAAGATAGAAAAAAACTTTGAAAAAATTACGCCATTTCTTTGCATAACTTATAAAACCTAAATCAAATGGATCATTTCTAAGGAAATTATAATTTACCAAACTGATCTCAGGAAATGAGAGAGTTTAAACAGACCAATATCTATATAGAAATAGAGAAATTATTAAAAAACTACTTTTCTAAAAAAAAAAAGCCCCAGATGATTTCACAAGGGAATTTCACCAAATTTGCAAAGGCCAAGGGAAGCCTGATGCTAACCTGTCCCAGAGAAGGAAACAAAGAAAACCTCCTAATTCTTTTTATGAATCCCTGGGCATAGCCTATATAACATCTCCAGTAAAATTCCCCGGGAGAGCATCGCACTTCAGGAGAACACACATGCCTCTCATTACAATGTGGCTGGGGTTTTTCTTGGCTGATATTAGTGAAGGAAACATGTATACAGCCCCCATTTTTCAAGAAAAAAATTTGGGGAAAAACTCTCAGGCTTCAGTTGGTCAACTATTAGAATCTTGAGTGTGTGTTTTTGAAAAGGGCAGTAAGTCTCAGTAAAGGAGGGTGACAGCTATTTTAACCATGGTGGTCAGGAAATAATGTGTTAAGCATTTTATGTCCTAATATGAGTTTTTACTTTCCAGTGTTTATGCTTTAGTTACAGTTTAAGGTAAGAAGCTGGCTGGGGTCAGTCAGGCGTGGCTCAGCGGCTGAGCATCAACCCAGGACCCAGGAGATCAGGGTTCAATTCCTGGTCAGGGCATATGCCTGGGTTGCAGGCTCGATCTTCAGTAGGGAGCGTGTAGGAGGCAGCCGATCCAATGACTCTTTCATCATTGATGTTTCTCTCTCTCTCTACTCTCTTCTGAAATCAAAAGATACAGTAAAAAGAAAAAAAGAAAAAAAAAGCTGGCTGGGGACTTCTATAACCAATCACACTGTTACAACTTTACAGCACATTATTACTCTCCCATATGAAGTAATGGGGCTGGGACTTGCATTACAAGATTCGATTTTCAGAAATGGATTTGTGACGTTAAGCAAGAGATAACTATAGAGCATTAACATCTAAGCCTATGAGGCTCTAACGTAATATAAGGAAGCTACAGAACTCATCTCACTTTGAAGCATCAATCCAAAAATCCTGCATGTTAACACACAGAACCCAACATCCTGTGAAAAACAGATATGATAACCAAGTGGGGTTTACTTTAAGATTGAAAAGACAGCTCAATATCAGAAAACTCATTACTGTGAACACCACCTTCACGGGTGGTCTCTGTGGAGGATGACAGGCCTTCCAAGTGTTCGATATAGTTACTGAGAAATGGACTAACAGACACTGTGGCATGACTTTACACACACGCACCTCTCAAGCCCAAAACCAGTATCCTACTGGGTGTAGGCAAAACAAGGCAGGGTCCCCATGAATGCCACTATTCTCTGACAGTGTCTAGCCGCTGCAATCAGGCGAAATAAAACCACAACAAGAGGCATAAAACTTGGAAAGGAACAGTTAGAACTATACGTGCACAAATTTTGATAATATACTTAGAAAAACACACATAAGAGAATCAAATGCTAAAACTGATAAACAATTTGGGAATTCAGAAAAGTAACAGGATACAAAATTAACATATAAAAATCAGGAGCTCAGATTTCTGCCTCTAGCAGTAGCAATAATGGGGACCAGATGAACCTTCCCATCAGTAAAAATAAAAATACCAGATATGAAAAGAATGAAAAGACAAGCCACAAACTTGGAGAAAATATTTGCAGATCACATATCTAATAAAGGACTCTTATCCAAAATAGAGAAATATATCTTAAAACTCAATGATTAGAAAATAAATCAATTAAAAAGTGGGCAAAAATATTGATTCCCAAAATCAGTGATAGGAAGAGAACAGAAAAATCCCCAAATATGCAGAGAGTAAACAACACACTTCTAAATGACAAGTGGGTCAAATAAGAAATCACAAGAGAAATGTTATTTTTAACAAAATAAAACTGAAAACACAACTTATCCAATGCTGTTACTGCAGCGAGCAGGGCTCCGAGGGAAACGCAGGGCTGAATGCAGGTGCTGGAAGAGAGAAAGACGTAACTCGACAGCCTGTGCTCCCTCCCGCCTGAGGAACCAGGAGAGGAGAGACAGGTCAAACCCACGGTGAGCAGAGGAAGAGGGAAGAACTAGAGCAGACACTAGTGAAATCGACATGCCTCTAGTTAGGCTAACTAAGAAAAAAGAAGAAAAACACAAATTACTAATATCAGGAAATAATCAACAAAAAAACACTCCTGTAAACAACAAGGAGCTTTAGCAAGGTTGCAGGACACACAGTTAATTTACAAAAGTCAACTGCTTCCCTATATCCCAACAAAGAGCAAGTGGAATTTGAAATTCAAAACACAATACCATTTGCATTAGCACCCCGACAGTGAGACACTCATGTATTAATCTAACAAAGTCTGCAGGAGATCTCTGTGAGGAAAACCAAAATCTGACGGATAAAAATGAAAGATCTCGATAAACGCAAAGGTGTCTGTGCCCGTGGACAGGAAGCCTCAGTACTGTCAGGACACCAGCCCTCCCCAGCTCGACCACAGATTCAGTACAGCCACAGTCAGAATCCCAGCAAGTTATTCTGTGGATAATGACAAACTCATTCTAAAGTTTACATGGAGGCAAGAGACTTAGAACAGCAAACAATTCAACACTGAAGAAAAACGTTGGAGGACTGACGCTACCCAGCTTTGAGACTCGCTATGAAACTACAGTCAAGGGTGCGGTGCTGGTGAAACACAAATAGAGCAATAAGCTGAAGAGGGAGCCCAGAAGCAGACCCGCCACTATAGCCACCCGACCCCTGACACAGGAGCAAAAGCCACACAACGGAACAAAGACAGTCTCTTCAACAATGGCACTGGCACAACTGCACATCCATGTGCAAAAATGTGAATCTAGACAGACTTTACACTCCTCACAAATTTTAAGTCAAAATGGTTCACAGGCCTCACTGTGAAATGCAAAACTATAAAATTCCCAGGAGATAACGAAGGAGAAAACCTAGATGGCCTTGGGTATGGTGTCCCTTTTAGAGAGAGCACTAAAGATGTGACCCACGAAAGAAATCATGAGTAATGGGCTCCGTTTAAGTTAAGAATTTCTATCTGCAAAAGAAAATGTCAGGAGAATGAGAAGACCAGCCACAGACGTGGAAAAAATACTGCAGAAGGCACATCTGATAAAAGGTTGTTATCCAGAATGTATGAAGAACCTTAAAACTCAACAATATGAGAACAAACAACCTAATTAAAAATGGGTTGAAAACCTTAACAGACACCCACCAAAGATACAGATGGCAAATAAGCAAGTGAAAAGATGTCCCACACTGCACATCATCAGGGAAACGTAACTTTAATCTGACACCACAACACCCAGAGTGGCCAGAATCTGGAACCCCGACTACACCCAATGCTGTTGTCTCACTCCCTGCTGGTGGAAATGCCAGTTTGGTGGTTTCTTACCAAATTAAACATGCTCTAGCCACACAATCCAGCCATCGCTCTCCTTGGTATTTACCCAAAGGAGTTGAAAACGTATGTCCACACAAAATTCTGTACACGATAGCCGCTTTATTAATTGCCAAAATTTGGAAGCAACCAAGACGCTCTCCAGTAGGTAAACGGATTTTTAAAAAGTATGAATATCATTTAGTGCTAAAAGGAAATGAGCCATCAAGACCCGGAGGAACCTTACAGGCATGTGACTGAGTGAGAGAAGCCAATCGGAAAAGGCTGCACAGTGAGACTCCAACTCTGATGTTCTGGAAAAGGCCAAACTATGGGACAGCGAAATGATCAGGGACACCAGGGGCTGGGGAGGAGGAGCCACACCTGGACACCAGTGAACAAAAGCCAGGTGGGGACACTGGGTTTCTCCTCCAGCTGATCCAGAGAGAATCAGAGCAGGCTGGCTGCTGGGAGTCTGGAAAGACAAAGTCACAAGCTCCCATGGAGGTATAACAACAAAGCAGCAAGATCAGGTGAGGCAGCCAGAGCCGGCCTCCTTCCCATGTTATACCTGGGACAGTGCACTGGTCCACAGGCTCCAGCAAGAGCACCGGGTAAGAGTGGGCGCATGCACATGTCTGTGTGTGGGCACCAGGAGCGTGGCAGCACCTGGTGTGCTTGAGAATGAAACCTTCACCTGGCGTCCACATCCCCTCTGCTTCTGTGGCCTCTCCTCTTCCCCTTGGAACGTTTTCTCTATCCTTGATGCTCACAAAACAGCCCTGCACCTTCCACACAATGTGAGGGGCCTGCACTCATTGCCTGCAGCTCTCTCCCTACTCGATGGAGTGACTTGTTCACCCAGGAGTCTCAGTGCCCGCACACGGTGAGGACCTCATGGACATGAGTGAGTGAGGGGAAGGAAGAGGGAAGCTCAGGCAGGGACAACAGGGCATGGGAGTGGATGGGAGGGTGGCCACCTCCCTGAGGACCTCCTCCTGCAAACCCACAAGTTCTTGGCCCGCTCACGTCTGTGCAGTCATGACACTGTAACCCCACAGGGCAGCTCTGGTCCCTCCCTGATGCTGTGTCGCCAGCACTCTAACACTGCCTGGCACTCAGCTGGCAACTTGCAGATGCTTTTGAGAGACAGAAGAGAGCTTAGTGATGTGCAGCAGCAACAGCACTCTTCTGTGGCACTGGAGAGCAAACAGATGCTGATAGCAAACGACTCTCTTCTGCTGGGGGAACAATTCGCAGAAGCAGGCTCTGTCCCCAAGCAGCTGCCATGGAGGAGGAGAGCAGGAGAGCAGAGGGGAAGCAACTGGGCCCTGCTCTGCTGGTACGGGAGATACTCACTGGGAACAACTGTGGTCTCCCCAGGAGGGCCAGTCTGTGTCACTGGGATATGAGCAGTGGCACTTGGGTCTGAGGGTTGACTGCCCATTCGAGTGACGTTCCGCTGATTATCTGCATCCTCTGGCTGTTCTTCCACCTTCTGTACACAGGTGCTGGGCAGTGCATGCACTGGACCCACGCCCATTATCCCACTGGCCTCCAGGTCACAGTGTGGCTCCCTGCAACCAAGAATGCACATCAGAGTAGGATGCAGCTCAGGTCCAAACTCCTATTCAGTCTGCAAAACCCAGCTCCTTAAGCCTCTATCTAGATCAAATAAATACCTGACCACCTCTGGCATTATCATATGGTTGTGTTTTTTTAATTCCCACCAGGGGATATGTTTATTGATTTTTTTAAGAGAGAGCGCAAAGGAGAGGAGAGTGAGAGAGAAATGTTGATGTGAAAAACACTGATGAGTTACTTTCTGTATGTGCCCCAACCAGGGACCAAACCCAAAACCCAGTATGTGCCCTGCAACCTTTTGGTGTACAGGACAATGCTCCAACCAATTGAGCCACCCAGAAAGGGCTCACACAGTCTTTTGTCGTTCTGTACACATCCATGTTTTTAGGTGTAAAACACAGGGATGGGGCTGACTCACCTGTCTGTTCCTGGCACAAGGCCAGGCATGGCTGGCACCACCATGCGTGTGTGAAATGGAACTGTGTGCAGAATGAGGAGGACGTTTCCCTAAGTCACCCCAGCTGCTCCCTCAGGCCAGAGCTCCCCCAGCACAGAGCTCTGAACACAAAGATGGAGCCACTGGCTAATCCTGGGCCATGGCTTTGGTTGCAGGGTTGGTTCTGGGTGGGTGTGGCCAGCAGGCAAGTGTGGGGACTGCTGGCCTCAGCCTAGGGGCTCTCAGTGTCAGGGTCAGATCCTGTCCCTCCAGGGAGCAGGCCAGGGAGCAGGCTGCGAGGGCCTGGGGGAGCTTTCTGTCACAGCCACACACCCCAGACCCTCCCTTTCAGTCTAGGGGCTCCTCAGCTTCCCACAGGCTCTCCTGACTCCTCCCTCCAGAGTTCCCCAATCTCCTCTTCTCCCTGGGCAGTCCCTGCTTCCCCAGTGTGTCCCAAAGCAGCCCCAACATTTCCCCTAAACACCCCCTTTCTCCCCTAGCCTTAAACAACGACAGGCACTCACTGAGCACACCCTTCCCCACCTGCAGGTCCAGGCTTTTACAGTCACCTCAACCAAGCGGGACCGTCACCACCCAGAGGAGGCAGAGGCAGGGGTGACAGCGTGGGGGGCGGGCGCGAACAGCTGTGGCCTGTGGACCCTGCCGCGCGCCGGAGGCGCGGCGCGGGCGAGCTGTTCCTTCCACCCTGCGCGACTCACTGGGGCTGGGGGTTCCGCGGCTCCTTCTCCTTGTCCCGGTCCTCGCCCTCGCCCTCCTTCGCTGCCGCCTCCTTGGCCTCCTTCTCGGCATCCTCGTGCGCGGGCGGCGCCCTGTGCCGGGCCCGGTGCCTCCGCACTGGCTCCTCCGCGCTCTCCG